TTTCAATTGAATAATGTTCTTCGTGTTCCTAATATAAAAAGAAATTTGATTTAATATCTCTATTTTATACCACAAATAATGTTTCCATTGAATTCTTATTATTTTTTGAGTCAATAAACTTCTTATAAAGACAACACTTATTAAGGACCAAAATAAATATGGTGTTTATGAATAATTGGTATCTCTAATATTGTTAGCCTTTTCGATTATAAAGACTTCTTTATCTAAATGATATTATAGATTAGGACACCTAACTTTTCTAATTCTAAAAGAGATTGCTTCCAAAAATCAACTAGCTTTAACTTCTTATCATCTTATTTTTATTGTATAGCTTATTGTCTATGTAATAAACACCATAATTTTTTTGTAATGCTTGTTGTCTATGTAATAAACACCATAAATTTTCATTCTCTTATTCAATAATTATCTCTTCTCAACATCTTGAAATCATTTATTTTGATGTGAAGGCTTTCTCAATCTTATCTCATAATGGATTTAAATATTGTATAATTTTTATTAATTACTATTTAAAACATATTTGGTTCTATCATTTTAAATAAAAATCCAAAGTTAAAGTTGTTTTTTTAAGATTTAAAGCCATTATTAAAAAATACTTTGTTAAGACCATTACAACTCTTTACTCTAACAATGATAGTGAATATATAGTTCTTGCTTATTTTCTTTCAACCAATGGTGTCTCATCTAACCACACCACTTCATATACTTAAACATAATGGTGAATCTAAAAGAAGACAACTTCACATTGCTTAAATTGGATTAACATTATTATCCTAGGCCTTTTTTAAAAAAATGTTATTGGACTTATGCCTTTATCATAACAATTTATTTAATAAATAATATGTCAATTCCTAAACCTCTTATCTCCCTTTAAAACTATTTTTGGAATAACTCCTAATTGTTCAAAACTTAAAGTATTTTGGTGTTTATGCTATATTTGGTTTAGACCATATATATCCAACAAACTAGATAGTTGTTCTAAGCCTTATGTATTTCTTAGATATTTCTTGACTCAAAGTACCAAGTGTTGTCTTGATCTATTAAAATTTAAAATATATGTCTCTTGGCATGTTAGATTCATAAAGTCTATTTTTTCTTTTATACATCTTTTCACTCAATCACCTAGTCCTGACTCTAACACCACTGTAACTTAGATTCCTTCACTATTTCAAATATCCTCATCATTTCTGGTACCACCACTCAATCTACCATATGTAGTAAAATTCCTCTAAAAATCCTTTAGTGAAGCTTCCTCAACATCAATTATGGCTAGCACCTCAACTCATAGAACCAACAAGGAACTTTACTTCATAATAACCATCAACATATATTCATCCATCCAAAGATCCTCTCTAACCTAATCACATAATAACTACTAGATCTAAAAAATAATTCACAAATCCCTCGCTAAAATGAGTCTACATGCCCAACTATTCAAAAATAGTGAGTTTGAACCAACCACATTGACCAAAGCCCTCAAAGATTATAAATGGAGTTAAACTATATTTGAAGAGTATGATGTTTTAGTATATAAAAAAAATAGAACATAAGAGTTAGTCCCATATAATACAATTCATAATCTTATTGGTTGTAAAGTGGATTTTCATAACTAAATACAAATTTGATGGATTTGTTGACTAGTTCAAGGCTCGTTTGTTTGGGAAAAGCTTTCACCAACATCCTGATATAAATTACCAAGACATTCAACATAGTTGTCAAACTAATGACCGTTCATATTGTTCTTAATATAATTGTAAATCATGACTAGTTTTTAAAGCAACTTGGTGTAAACAATGTCTTTCTTTAATGACACCTTTCAAAAACTACCTACATGTTTAAATCATTAGGATTTGTTGATAAAGATAACCCATCATATACCTGCAAACTCAAAAAAGAATTGTATTGTCTCAAACAAGCACCTCAGGTTTAGTACTATGAACTTAAAACCATTTTTCTTTAATTTAGTTTTACAAAGTCACATGCAGATACTTCTCTCTTTATTTATAATGTTGAGGGCTATACAATATATCTCATTATGTATGTTAATGAGTTAATTCTTGTAATAAAAAATGATATTATCGCTAATCACTTTATAATTATTCTTATTTAGTGATTTTCTATCAAAGATCTTAGGTTATTATTTTATTTTATGGGTGTTGAAGTTGATCATAAAAAAAATGAATTGTTACTATCTCAAAGGCATCACATTATATATCTATTAACTAAAACAAAAATACAAGATGTCAAGTTTGTTCTCGCGCTATAACCAACAAGCTTCTATCTTATATTATATTCGGTTTCGTCTCTATTTGATTATACTGGGTTTCGACAAGTTGTTGGCAACTTTTAATATCTAATATTCACCAAACCATATACTGCTCTTTTAGTTAATAAACTATTACAGTATATGCATTGCTCCACACTTCAGCAATTGTCTCTTATAAAAATATTTTTACGTCATTTGGTTAAGACTATTGATGATGGCTTACAAATTCATCAGGGTTTTAGCCTTATTTTTCATGTCCTCTTTGATGTTGATTGAACAAGGGACAGAGACACATTTTGCTCCACAAGTGCATATGTTATTTATCTTAAAAAAACCTTGTGTCTTGGAGTTTCAAAAAGCAATAGGTTATTGCTAGATCTTCTACAGAGACAAAATATTGCTCTGCTCTAAATATTACGATTGAACTCAAATTTATTTGCTCTCTTTTATATATATTAGTGTTACATTTCCCTGTTATCTTTTAATCCATTATGATAACATAGAAGCAACTTATCTATATTCCAATCCTGTTTTTAATTATAGAATGAAACATGTTGCCATAAATTTTCATTTCATTTAGGATCAAATATAATCTGGTTCTCTTCAACTTGCCTATGTCTTTTTTAATGATCAACTTGTTAATGATTTTACAAAGCCTTTTCCTCGCCAATGTTTTCTTCATCTCAAGTTCAAGATTGGCTTTCTCTCCTAAGTTCATATTTAGGGGTCATAATAAAGGATCTCGTTTCTCTATTGACTCATTTATCTATTAACTTATTCCAATTATAATTGGTTGTAAAGTTTTAAATACTATTAGATATATTTCATAGACTTAAGAGTTTGTTTATAACAACACATTGGTTTATAAGATATTCAAAGTTATTTTGATAATCATTTGATGTATATATATTTGTTTAATAATTGATGAAAAAAAAGAAAGAAAAATTTATTCCTTCCATAAATCTATCATAGTAAACTGTGCAATTTAAACCAGAAAGCTATGTTTTTTTAGAAAGGTGTCATAAACGAGATTCCGCTAAATGCTAGGCAAAGGATACACCTGAACCTGACAAATAGGATACACTCGAATATAAACTTAAGTTTAAAAGTGTTACCTAGGGTTCAAAACTATTAAAACCTAAACTTATCACCTACTTATTCATTAAAGTGGGTTTTTTGCTAGTCTTTTTGCTTTTCAAGATGTATATGTTTTGAATATATTGTGAACATATAGAACAAGGTTCTAAAAAAAATATAATTATAATTATAATTATAATTATTAAAAACACTAAAATAGATAAGGGTTTTATTGAGTACTGCATTATTTGCTACAGTATAATCTTGGTTTTACCATTCTCACACAAAATAATAGGCTAGTTATAGAGGTAAGATAATTTTTTTTCATGGGAATTTTTTTTCATTATTATATTGATTAAGGGAAAATAAGTTTTATACCATTTTATATGTACAATACAATGACTTAAATACCCTTAAAAATAATCTTTTTAGAGCTAAGGTCTAGGGACTTTTCAATCTTTTTATTTTCATAATAAAATGACTTTATTTCCTTTAAAAAAATTGGCATCAAATGGTATTTTTGTATTTTTATTATGATTTTTTTATTATAATCAATTTAAATGAGAGGCAAATCATTCTTTAAAAAAAATTAATAAAAAGAAAAGGTTGTTGGTTAATGCAACGTCTTCTGGCAATGAAAACTTTATTTTCTTTCTTTTTTTTCTCTCTTCTCTCATCAGGATTCACACTGGTTCAACTAAAATTCAAATTTGTCTTCCCATTTATTTTTTCTTTTAATTGTAGTCCATGTTTTTTAAAATGGTTTTTATTTGTTTTGGATTTTTTTATTGGTTTTGTTTTTCAATTTCATCCCTTATCATTTGGTTTTTATATCAAATATAATCCTCATTCTTTTTATTGTTATATATATATATCATTTTCTTAATTAATTTTCTTTTCAATTTAATCTCTCATCATTTTAGTTCATTTTATTTTTATATCAAATTTAATCGTTATTCTTTTAATTATTATTTTTTTACTTTGGGTCCTTTTTTGAAATTGATTTTTTTTTTATCATGTCCTTAATATTGGATTTGTTGATGATTTGATTTCATGATTTTTTCGTGCAATGATCCTAATTTTATAACTTAAGTCTTGAGGATTAAATGTTAGCCTGGGTTGACATTGATACTTTTTTTACACTGATTTGTTTTCATGATTTCATCATTCAATATTGAATTTATTAAGGTTTGAACTCCTTTATATTTTTTTTATTTTCTTACAACCTCAGTTGTGAATTTAGATTGGCTTAGGCCTTTCACATCATTTTATTTTTGTGTCATATTTAGCTATTATTGTTTTAACTTCTTTTTCTTTTGATCCTTTTTTAAAATTAATTTTTTTAATTTAATATTTTAATATTTACTTGTTAAGAATTGAATATCATAATTTATTTTAATTTATTTTTTTAGGTTTTTTAAATTAAAAAAAAAAATAATTTAGCTCACAACTAAGCGCATCCCATCATAACAATAATAAGCATGTTTGGAAATGTAATTGGCCCTGTATTTTTTTAAAAAAATCTATATTTTTAGATTGTTTTGATAAGCTGATGTTAAAATTAATTTTTTTAAAAAAATTATTATTTATATATATTTCAAAATAAAAAAAAACACTTTCAAAATAATCAATACCTTAATACAAATAACTCTAAAACTAAACAAGACAATCACAATCCATATCACAAAGAAAGTGCAAAATAATAAAACAAACGCCAGGTTGAACTCCTATTTTTCAAAAAGACCTTCACCAGCTAACCTCCACTTCAGTTCAGATGCCTCCCCTAAGCACTTGTCCATTAAGCTAGAACCCACAATGTCTTTGGACGCCACATGCCCACGTCTCTTCTGGAGTTCTTGTAATCTTGCTCTTTTATCCACCAATAATGCTTCAAATTTTTTGATATCTTGATCAAGCTCTGAGATCTCTCCATCTATTTTCTGCAGGTTATCCTTTTCTGCTTTAGCTTGAAGACCATAGTAAGCAAATACAATTCTGTCCAGACGGTCTAAGGCGAACTGTATGTTGAAACCTGCAAAATGCACCATTTTCAAGATCTTCCACCACTTTGACAGTAGTTCTTGGGAAATATCAAGAATTCTTGTGGTGCGCATGCTGTTTATTGTCCAGCATAACATAAATCTGAAATAGTCCACTACCGGTGAATTTTGCGAAGTGGGTTTTGCAAGGATAACATCACCAAGTGCCTCCCTTATGTATGCAAAGTCTGACTTCAAAAAATGATCTTCGACCTTGAAAATCGGCCTATCTTCTTTAAATATATCTTTGCCTCCATATAATAAGTTCATAAGAGTAAGAGCCTCATTTGGAAACAGAGAAGCTTGTGATCCCATGCTCTTGGTAGTATCATTCTGAGCCCAGTGTCTTGCAGCCATAGAAATGCTTCGATACAAGTCTGTGTCCTCAATTCTGAAACGACTAATAATTTCATTGCAATCTTCATTCTTTGTTCCACTGCCCCTTGCAGTTTCCTGAGGAGGAAGATAATATTTGCCAATCAACTTGCCAGCCATCTTAGTGATCAAGGACTTAAACTCCACTTCGCCATTATATCCCAATAATGAACGTTTTACCTGACAGCAAAACAAGTAAAGGAGAAACATGAAGCCTAGTTCTTGTTTTAATTATGAGTATGAAGGCACGGATCATGTTTCAATCCCCTCACTCCATCACTCGGACGGAGTGAATATTTTTTTTCATATAATCACTTGAAGAATTAGATAATTGTCTACAAAAATTGAAGTAAAATGTCAGATATAGAAAATATGGTAGAAAACGTACCTCGGATATTACGCATTTAATCTCAGCAGTGTAGGGGCAGCCCTCAGAGCAACAATAAACTGGCAGCCTTGGATCTCTTTCGTTTTCGCACTCATCGCAGTAAAACACATCCACGTCATTTTTGTCTTCGCCGTCCACCGGAGAATAGACAAGCCTGAGTGGATGTGTATGTAATTCACTTTTGAAAGGAATGATACACGGTAAGGGACCACATTCAACATGAAGATTGTAATTGCATCGGGCACAACGAAACAGAGGTGATGATGATACGCAATCCTTGCCGCAGGCCTTGCACTTTATACCTTTGAATTCATTGTTGTCGTCAATATCATTGCCTATGATGTTTTCGATAAATGAAAGATTGTGAGGGTGAGCTTGATATGTTATAGTGGAAACCTCCACCGGACATTTAACGTGCACGTTGAATGGTAATTGTAAGCCACCCAGTTTTTTTCTCACTTTCTTCGGTAATTTGGACGGAGTGCGGTAGAATAAGCCATTGCATAAATTATAACAGGAAATGCATCTTGCTTTAGGAAAACATTCTGGAGTCAACTTTAACTCGAGGCCTGGATATTGCGGTTGGAATACCTTGTCAGGAAGAAGGAAGCATTGTTGGTGGAGGAAAAACTTGCATACCCCCTCCCAACGACAGACATAGGCCTTGTCACAACAGCTTTTCTGGCAAGCGACGCAGTGAATTGCTTCATCATCAGTTAAATCAACAAGTGTTAGGGGATGCCCGTGCATAGGGTGGTGGTAGAGCTGATCTTGACCTTCAGATTTCATTTTTTCAGGCAGTAAAGCGCAGTCGACTTCGAGCCTGAAGTTGCAATTGTCGCAGAGGTAGTGGAAGCCACCACGATTCCTCAAACAAGCATTGCAAGTATAAGGATTTCTTTCGGTGCATAGAGCGAGAGAGCAACGGTGATAGAAGTGATCCAAACATTTTGGCAACTTCAATTCAGCACAAGATTTGTGAAGATAGAATCTGCAGGGTTCACACTTGTAGAACAGTACCGAGCTAATTATAAATTCCCAACACAAGTAGCAGCGTGGGGGGTCATCATTAACATCCTTCTGTTCAGTAGCAACTAGGACTAATGGGTGAAGATGGGAAAAATGGATTTGAACAGGATCTTCATCTTCTTTTATGACAGGTCTTAGTAAAGCACATTCAACATCTAGATAGATGAGGCACTCGTTGCATTTGTAGCCATAGGTGAAGCCATCTATGTTCCTAAAACAGGCGTGGCACTGAAACTCTTCCGGCTCACCTATCATATGAGTCTGAAAGATTGAAAGCGTGTGGGGATGAAAAGGATTTGAGAACCATGATGGCAACTTTGCACATAAATCATGGAGGTTCAAATCGCATATGCTGCAACTAAAATAATACGGATCACGACAGTGTTCCTTGCAAGCTTTGCATACAGCTAGATTAGCTTTGTCAACCTTCTCGATCAGCTTCAATTGATGCTCACCTCTGAAATGCTCAAGGTACTTGATTCCCTTCATCTCTCTCTATGTGAAATGTTTTGCCTGGCATAAAGAAGTTGTTGTTACTGAAGTTTCTTCTTGTTGAGAGATTAAAAAGAATCTGTCGCCCATTTTTTCTCTCGAGGAAAGTAACTCTACTTTGATGACTTGACCACAGGGTGCCGGCCACTTGTGATTTCTTTAACACGTTAATCACTTGAATCTCAACTAGCTCGGTCATTTTTTTTAAACAGAAAGACTTTGGATCAATTTTTTTCACTTACTGGGACGACTAGTGTTTAATGGGAATTCTTTATTCCATTCTCCCTCTAATAAAGGAGGCTTTCGTAGATTTTAAGGAGGTTTTTCTTTGGCAGGTGCCACCTGCTACCACGGTCGGAGTACTAATTCAACTGATCTAGTCACCATCACCTTAAAAATATAGCGTGCTGTGCTCGCCACAGATTAAGACATCAAATTGTTTTTTAAAACTGGAGATATCAGATTATTGGCTCCGATTTTCTATTTTCTAGAATTCAAATCTTCAAATTAATATATGCACTGGACGAATATGAAAGTTATGGTTTCAAAAATTATTTAAGAATAGTTATTGGTAAAAAAATTTACCATCTCTCTTTTACAAATATTTTTTACATAAATTTCATTGATAATTGTTATTAAAGAATCATATAAGTTATATTTTAAGATTTTATTTAATATTAAAATAATTTTTTAATATATTATTAAAATATTAATAACTAAACAAGTTCAAAACTTATTATTTTTTATTTAATAAAAATTAAATATAAAATAATATAAGCTAATGGGTGGGTTTTTAATAATTATGGGCTGATTCAACAAGAATTTTACCTGGTCCATAAACTGGGTTCAAAGCTCCTCGGCCCATTTAGCACAATTCTGTGTTCAGGAGATGAATGGTGAAGTAATATATAAAGTGGGACTCTTGTTTTTGGGCTATCGTCTCTTTGGAAAACTGAAACACAACTAGGTCTGCAATTCTGTGTATGAAAACCCAGTCAGTCCTTTTGCTTTCAATAATGCATATTTGTTGAATATATTATAAACGTCCAGAAACAGGTTCTGACAAATTTAAAAATAAAAACAAACTTATTTTAATTTTACTCTATTGTTACTCTAAACTTAGTATATATAAAATAAAATAAAATAAGGATAAAATCATATTTTTATTATTAAAATAAAAGGATACAGTAAATATTAAAAAAATGTTATAAATATATTTTAAAAAAAGATAAATGATAATATCAAACATTGATTTTTCACATAATATAATTATTAAACTTCGAACTTACATCACAATATAAATTTCAGATTCATTATCAGTAACACATGAGCAACATCATAGCAATACTTTATCTGCACTGAGTTTTAAATATATTTATCATAAAAAAATTATACAAAATTCATAGTTTTATAAACTTTCAAGATATTATTTCGAATCAATAAAAATAAATAATAATTCATAATACTTATTAAAATATCAAAATCTAATCTTTAACTAAAATAGTGGAGCACTCTAGACCGAAAAAAAAGTCTTGAGGAAGCAAAGTAGGGTATAAGAATCAAAAACAAACACTCTCAACAAAGTTAATTTGCTAATAAAAACTAAGAACATGGAAATAATATTAAAAAGAAAAGTGAGTTTAACTAATTTAGTAGATGAATAACATTAATATACATATTAGATATTATAAATTTAAAATCATTTATATATAGACACACACACATACACACACTAAGTATATTTATATATGGTACTGGAATACATATCAGGTTAGATAAAAAATGAAACCCTAAGATTTCCATAACAAAGAATCATAGGATTATCTGCGCACAAGTTAATGTCACTCTCACCAATTAGGTATACAGATATGATGTGCACAAAAACTAATTGTTTTTTTTTTAGTATGGAATTTTTGACAAGTCAAATATTAAGACATAACATATATTCACATAATTATCAAAACAATTAAATATCATACTAAATAGAATTTAATTCAACATAATATGAATATATATATTTAAGAAACTGATGATGAATACTCTGAAATAAATCAACATATATAGATACTCAAGAACATTGTTCATACTTATCATATAATCAATATGCATAATTTATTTATATTATATGAATATTAAAGATTATCTTATTTATATAAAAAAACAAAAGTAAAAAACAAAGAGACATAGAACTAGAAATCATTGGTGATTGCAATAAGGAACGTCAGCAAAACTTATAATAAACACAAAAATGACTCATGGCAAATAATATAAAAGATTTCAACTCTAATAGAAAAGATCAAAACATAATTACAAAACTAGAACAAATCCATCTAATCAATCTCATACATTTTTCAAACTAATTAAATTAAAAAGAATTGATTAAACCCCACTCCTCAATCAACTGCCGCCACAAACCACTTGCTCAACTGATTTATACCAACCGGTCAACCAACACTTTCAAGTTAATTGACTGGCCGATTCAACTAGCAGGTTGATCGGAACTTCAGAATCTTTATATGTTATTCTTTCAAAGTTTTGCAGATTCTTAAAACAAAAAAAATCTAAATTTAATATCAAATGATTTTAAGCTAAACTAACACTTTAAAACATCAATTAAACCTCTTAAATCATTCATTATCAAATTAATAAATAAATCATAAAATATCAATATATTTCTTTAATCCATTAACTATTAAATCTCTAATAAAAAAAGAAAAAAAAAATATTTACTTGTTTTTTCAAACTCTTTTTAAAACTCAAAAGTTTAAGTTTAGAATTAGTATTTTTTAGAGAGAAGTCACGGCAAGGAAAGTAAAAGATAAGAAAACATAAAAAAAAAATCATTAGCAAATTTTTTCTTTGAATACATGAGTTAAATTGGATTCTTGAGTTATACTTGCATTAGATTGGATTTGGACATGATGAGCAAAATATATCTTAAAGCTTAGATATTGTTATTTTATTTTTTTAACAATCATGGAGTTTTATAAGATATTATAAGTGTCTAACTATTAATAAAATTATTGAATATGATTAAATTTACAAAAATGTCATCTAATATAGAAGGGTTAAGTTTAATTAAAAATTAAAAATGAGAATCTAAGTATCATTAACTAATAATATTGTTTTAAAAAATTATGAATTACTTGGTTTTCACCATAATTTTTTTTATTTTCCAACAAATTCATTATTTATTTGTTATTATAAGGGATGTCATTTTTTTCCAACGATTATATATGGTTATTGAAACTGTAATAGCCACATCGATGATCATTTTAAAAATTAGAATCTAATAAATAATCTACTTTTTATTATTGTTATGTCCTTAAGGGTTGTGGCATAATGGCAAAGGATTCAAGATTTGAACAGCAATAGGTTTCGAGTTTGAGTTATGGCATGCATCTCTTGTAAAAGTTTTGTAAAAGCTCAGGACATCTGAAATTTTACTCGCTCACTTGAACCTATAAATATGTTTTATGAAAATTGAAGTTTCCTCAAATCCAAAAAAAAATATTCTCAGCATTTAATCAATATAGGAATATAACTAGGGATAAAATTGTCTAAAAATTAATGATAAAATAATATATTTATATTTATATTTATATTTTTAGATGTTTTTGATATAATGATGTTTAAGATAAATTTTAAAAATTAAAAAATATATATTATTTTAATATATTTTTAATCTAAAAACACAGGCAAGGATACGATACAATACAGGATGAGATGATGTGATTGATTTGCAATTTGATAAGATTTTTTTTTTTCCTGCTGGTTGGAAATAAGATGAAACAAGATAAGAGAATGTCTAATTTAACCCTGCAGTGTATCTGCCGAGCATGTTATGATGGTACTCTCGTGTAATCTTTGCACGCTGAGACAAAGCGTGTAATTGGGTTGGGCCTTATACAAGTACTGATGCATGCATCTACGGACCAGCCCATCTAACCCACCGACAAATTAGTTTGCTGAAGCAACTTCGTTGCATGTCCATGAAGTCGTATCGTTGATATGGATGGGCTCTGTTTGGCAGTTAGTACTGTAATGATGATGCTTCATACTTGGAGTATACTTTGGAGCATGCACACGTGTCCTGGTCTGTCGTCTCTGGCTAGGTTGAAATTCTACAGCGATTCTATTCGCGTAACCGTGATATTTAGTCTATTGTATTTTGAAAATATTAAAAAACAAAAATTTTTTATTTTATTTTAATTTTTCATATTTTTAGATTATTTTTACTTTAATTTTTCATATTTTTAGATTATTTTAATTTATTTATATTAAAAATAACTTTTAAAAATAAAACAATATTATTTTTAATATATTTTAAAATAAAAAATATTTTTAAAAACAACCAAACATCTTAGTATTCCAACATCCTTTAACAAATTTTCAAGAAGTTTAGTACGTGCTGATGTTCTTTAAGGTACAGACATGTAATCAATGCGAAATGCAAGTGCAATTTACAGGGTGGCTTGTGCTAGCTAGGTTATTGACCGGTGCTTATCGACAGAAATGCTCTGTTTCTTGCTTGCACATGAAAATTCAAGCTCTAGGTGAGAGTTGCTAGAGTACCGTCGGTGAATACGAAATTTATTATTTTTAAAGTATTAATTCACCCCGTGTTGTATTTATTATAGAGTTAAGATAATATATTTTTAAAATATAGCAAAGTTTTAAACTTATAAACATAAATTTTTATAAGTTTATGAAGAAATTTTATTTTATTTCTTATAAATATAGATAAAGAATTTGTAAAAAAAATAAAGAGAGAAGAAGATTGGTTTTAATTAATTTCTGTTAATATCAAACTAGTATTTATAAAAAAAAAAATACTTTTTAAAGTTAATGTATTTATAAAATTTAAAAGCACATCTCTTCAGATTAACCAATATATCTATACAATTTTAAAAACAATTCTTTATTAAATTTTTTGGGCAATTTGATTGGGGATTTCATACATAATTATTAAATTGATTAATTCTAAAACTTTAATTAATTAACTTTAATTAATTAATTCCAAAAATAACAATAAAAATCATTT